GATTTTCTCCTGTGTATGCTCTTAGGTTTCAGCTTCCTCTCTGCCTTGCTAAGTCTGCTTTCCATCTTACAAAAATGGAATGACATTTCTGGCCTGCTTTGGTCTCCTCTCCCATTCTTTGTGTTTTTCTGGATTTATAAATTTCTTATTTCTTTATTGTTATTTTAGTATTTTTTTGAAAGGTTGCAGAGATAAACATGTAAGTTAAGTTCTTCATGTTTAACCAGTTACCAATGATCTGGCATTTTCTTTTTCCTTTGAAAAAAATTTTTTTAGGAAATAAAAATATACAGGCACCTTACCTCTTCAATTAATTTTTTTATGTTATAAATTTAATTTATTCAGTACATTGAAACCATATAGGCTTATTAAATTTTAAGGCTTTACCAGTCAGGTACTGGGTATTATGTTCTGTGTGCATGCATGTGTGTGTGTTAAAAAAAAAAAATTCCTACCATTTCTTGTGCTTAGGTACTCAGTAAATTTGTTTTCAAACAATGACTATATTTATAGGCTGTAGTTTCAATTTGTTCATACTTTAGTTCTTAGTTTTCACATGGTAATAAATCTAATTTGCCTGACTATTTTAGCAATTGGAGTTGCTCAGCAAATGAATAAACCCTATATTAGTTCCTTCTGAAATTGAAAATATTATGATATTTAATGTATCACTGTCATCAAAGGTTGATTGATCACTTGCAAGGTTTGTGGACACTGCTATTATTATGCAGATTATTTTTATAATATTTAGCCTAATCACTTTCAGGTGATAGCAGCCTCTCTTGCTAAGATAGATTTCTTTTATGCACTGATAACCATTGTTGTAGACACATGCTGTCCTATAAAACTTTATGTCATGGAAAATACTCTTGTGCTAGTCATTAAGTGGAGAACTGAGTTTGCATTTTACTCAATTTTAGTTAATTTAAGTTAAATAGCCATAAGTGACTAGTGACTACCATATTGGACAGCACCGTTTATAGATTACTATGATAGGATCGGTCAAGCTTTTGTTTCTATTTTTTTGTGTTGTCAACCACTTGAATTAGTTGGGAATAAAATATATATCTAGCTGGAGAATGGAAGTTAGATGATTTCCCTAAGTTAATGTTATAATTAGAACTACATTTTTCTTTGCATTCATAGAATCCAAAGGTTGATGTTTCAGAATTAAAAACAAAAATGTGCTTTAGGTTGGTCTATTATGCTCATTTTATTTGGAGGATTCGGGGTGCTGATAAGATATTGAAAGTACAAACAAAAGGTTGAAAGTGCTATTTTTAGAACTTTGAGGGTTGTTTTTTTTCCATTTTACAAAAGAATGGGAAAATAGTGCTTGACTCAAAGCCTGGTTTTGTTTAGAATTTTTATATTCTCGAAAAAGTCATGGCAGAGTATTGTTTTGCATTTTTACTATTTGGATGAAGATACTGTCTTTTTTTTTTTTTTTTTTTTTTTTGTGGGACCCTCGCCCGCGGCCGGGGAACCAGCGCTCAACCACTGCGCCACCAGGGGAGGCCCTGAAGATACCGTCTATGTTTGTGACTTCAGATTTATTTGTGAACTACAGATTCAGAAAATTTCTCTTTAATCAGGGTTGAAGAGTAATTGGGATAAATGCTGTAAAATTAATCCTGCCATACTAGGATTATGCTACGAGTTGAGTTCTGTCGTAGGTTGAATGTTAAATTGATGAAAATTCAGTCAGTTATTTTTTTAATAAAGAAGGAAAAGTATGGCTTTGCCAAACCATTTTGCTTGATTTTTTTTTTACTGAAATAATGACTTTTTGGGATTACTGATTAATATAGTTGTATCATTTTACATGTAATTTAGCCAAAAAAAACTAAACTTAGCTTTATATAGTGTTATGATTGTTAACTAACTGCTTATTATTTAGGCCTTTGAGAAGATATATTAAAAAGTTACTTCAAATTCTGTTTTTCTCAAGGCCTTACTACACTTTTAGTCATTCATTCTCAGCAAATGAGTTGTTCTCCCGTTTCACAGAATATGAACATTTTTTCATTTTTGTCCTTCAGCTTCTAAGTTTTCAAATATCATCACTGATTTTGACCACCCCTTGCATGTCAGTGGAAAAACTATCCTGTTTCGTGATAAAAATAGACCACTCCATCTGTGCTCTTTATTTCATCTGTTTTCACTTTCTTTATGGCACTTGTATGTCAATTATTGTGTTTGTCATTTCAGCCTATTTCCAGTTTTTCCCCCCTTTTTATTTTGTTTTAACAAGCTCAACCATCCTCATTGTGGTTGGTGTAGATATATATGTGAATAAAAGAGCTCACCCTGCTAATCCCTTCTTTTTTTCTCATCCAGTCTTGAAGGAATTGTTTACACTTATTCTAATTCTTCCCTTCTTACCAATCTGTATTTTAACAAGCTTTCCACATGATTTCGATGCATGCTGAAGTTTGAGAACTATTACCTAGTGTATACTTGGTCATTCAAGAAGTTCCGTATTGTTATAAAATACTGTTACAGCATATAGTATATGTTAGTGTATACTTATAAATTTTGGTTGGGCAAGGTGCTGTTTAAACATAGAAACAGTAATTGTTGGTGAATTGGTTAGGATTAGGTTTGGCTATGAGTTATTAGAAAATCCCAAATCGCAGTGGTTTAAAAGATAGAAGTTTGTTTATTTTTCTTATAGACACAGGTAATCCATGTTTGGTGACTACATGATTATCAAGGACCTAAGTTTCTTTTTTCTTGTTCTACTATCTCCAACACTCACCTTCTTCCTTTTTCATTTGGCTTCTGTGCTGTTACCGTCCTTTTCAGATTCTAGTCAACAGATAGGGAACAAAAAAAAAAAAAAAGAGGAGAGGTCATACTTCTTTCTTGTAAAATAAAAGAAGATATCCAGAACTTTAAGCCACATTGACCACAATAAAAACATTGGTCACACCCAGTTTTAAGAGAGCTTGGAAAATAAAGTTTTTATTTCAGGTAGCTGTCTGTGAAGATAGATGCATGGGTTCTAACCTTACAGAAAAAGGGAAGAACATAAATGAGTGTATAAGAGCTCTTGGCACAATAAACTCTTGGGAGCTCAGTCACTAAACATTGAATGCTTATAATTAGTGTACTATCTTATGTTAACTGTGGAAAAATAAGGGAGATTGGGAAGGGACAGAATTACAGAAAAATAAGACCTATTCCTTGGTTTTCTAAGATACTGCATTTACCTGGGGACATCAGACATACATGTATACATATGTGATAGTAATGCAGGTCGTATAAGTTGAGAGGGATCAGATTCTTAGGGTTTTAGAGAGAAACATGCCCAGAGGACTGGAGTTTTGGGAAGATAGATTTGAAAAGAAAATTGATGTGCTTTTAGGTAAATGGACTTCTTTATATAAGATACCAATCATTTCAGTATTCTTACTACTTAAGAATTTTAAGACTGATGTCCAATTTAGAACTGAGGAAGGAATTATAATAGGCATCCCTGTGAGAAATCTCTTTTGGGTATGAGTAGGCTGTTCTATTTATAATTTTAATATGATAAATAATACTTGTATTAATTTATCAATTTATCTGAACTTCTATTTGTTTATAATTATAGTAGTTTCTTCAGTTTCACAAACAAAAGATTTGTTTTCGATTGTCTGTGTGGTAATTAGAACATTGCAGTCTATGATCTCACCAATTAGGATAACTTTAGAAAGAAGATAGATTTTGAGTGGAGAAAAGAAACATGGAAGTCATATAAGAAGACAACAAGGGTAGTAAACTTTGCATGCTACAAAACATAATTTAGAGAACCAGGTAGAACTTTGTCAAAGAGTTCACTTTGTCTTAAAGACATTTCAAAATGACTTCATATGATATAGTCAATACCATTTTGTATTTTATCATTCAGTATTATAATGTAGACATTTTTCCTTGTCATAAAAAGTTCTTTAAAAGCTGATTTTTAAAATTGATTGTATAACATTTCTTGGTTTGGATGATTTGCCCATTCCCTATGGTTAGACACTTAGTTGCTTATAAAATTTTTATTACTATGAACAAAGTGAAAACAGTTACACATGTTTAGATATTGAGTGTTAGTGGCAAGAACTTTGTAGTAGCAGAAGTGCATTAAAAACTTTTTTGAGCTAGCATTAGTTTGTAACATTAAGTATCAGGTGTATAGTATTACAATTTGACATCTGAATACACTACATTGTGATCATTATCTGATAGTCTTAATCATAATTTTTTGAGGGATCTCCATATCGTTTTCCATCTTGGCTGCACCAAACTTATATTCCTATTAATATTCCCTTTTCACCAATACTTACTGTAAGTATCATGTTGGCATTTTCCCTTAAGAAAGGTGTTTATCTTGGGCCTCCCCGGTGGCGCAGCTGTTGAGCGCTGGGTTGCGAAGCTGCCCGCAGCCTCTACAGCCCCAGTTCTATCCCCGGCTGCTCCCCGGCCACCGAAGGAGGGTCCCACATGGCGCGCAGACCTCTCTTGCTGCCCACTGCTCCCCTCAGCAGTGTACTTCGGTCTTCTGCCTGCTCTGCTCCCCGCTCTGGCTCTGGTGAATTCTCTCACCCTCCTGCGTTTCTGACTGTACCCAGTGCTTGTGTAATTAAAAAAAAAAAAAGAAAGATGATTATCTTATGAAGGGTAGTATAATTAAGCAATAGCTTATAAAATTTGGACATTAGTCATCTGGTGAAGAAAATTAAAATTGATATACAGTATTGTCTTACATAAACTAATATAATAAGTGGATAGTTTAAGTGTGTGGGAAATGCTTTGTTTCATGTATTTACTGTTATCTAATAAGTCATACTGATCTTTTTTAGTAGTGAAATGATTTGTGTTTGTAATACAAATTTTTCACATTAAATTGATTTATTCCTTTCCAATCAAGTTTGAATGTATTAACTATTAAGTTTATAAAGAAAAAGTTGTGTTCTAATATGCATATATACTTTCACCAGTTTTTCTGTACTTCTCTTGATTTATAGGCCTTTCTGCAAATGTGTAATCTGCCTATCAAAGTGGTTTGTAGGGCAAATGCAGAATATATGTCCCCATCTGGTAAGTGTTGGGTTTTTTTTTGTTCCTTTGTTAATATCTTGCATTGATGAAATTAGTAATAGTGTTATTTGTACTTAATTTTAAAAATTGCCTATTTTTTTTTTTGTTTACCTCTTGAAGAATTTTCATGTGATTTATTTAATAAACAATCACAAACTTGACAGTCTTGGGGTGGACATGGCTCCTCATTTCAACTTTGTGGTCAGAATTGGTTACTATCATGTTACAGGATTTGTTTTAAATAGTACATAGTAGGAAAATATATAGTCTCAGATTCCTTCAGTTTTATATAACCTTTCAGGAAAAAAAGATTATAATATTAATGAATCCATTCATTATTAAACACACGTCCCTAAATTATATTCTCCCATTATATAGAAGAAGCAAGATTGTGGAGTAAATTGTCATAGGTCTTAAAGTCATCTTTTAATGTTTTTGATTTCTAGTTCTGTTTTCTGTTTTCTCTTGACTTGTTTAAGATACTGTTTATTAAAGTATTAACTTTTCTGTGGTTTTTTTTTGTCCTTTCTGTGTGTTACCATGTATTAGTAGATTGAAGTACACTTTTAAGTAAACAAGATTCAGATAATTTTTAATATAAAAATACAGTACCACAAAGCTGATAAAAATGTTAATTAGAATTGATCTGAATAATTATAATTACAGTTTTGCTGGATCAATTTCAACACATGATATGACTCCTTTATGAGTGAATCCAATGAGTATCACTGAGTGCCGTTAGTGTATTCCATCAATTTTTAGAGAGACATTTCTGTGTCTCTTCATTGTCATTGTCATGATAATTTAGGAATAACTTGTGTTAGACCTTTTCTAAAAAAATCTTAATTTCTCAAGGGTGGTAGTAATTATCAGAAATCTGTGAATACACCCTTTCCATATACACCAAAATTTTTACATGAATACATCTATACTTGCAGGTTTACAAATATACATTTAAAAGGATTTCCATAAAGGAATGTCTAGACTTAACGACATATTTTAGATTCTTAAAGGTCATTCATTGATTCTTTTTTGACTTAATTTTGTTTAGTTTTTATAAACTTTACTGAATGATGATGAAGTGAATTATATTGCATTCTATTCATCTTTTCTTTCTATGTAGTCATATAAAAGGAGTGTAGATGCACATCAAAACAATAATCTAAAACTAATATCTTTGGCATGTGAAGATAAGCTATATGTTATAGTTTATCTCCTTGTTTTCTAGGTATATAGCTGTCTTTTCATAGACTGAAGACATAACTATTGAAGAGACTGTTATATATACATACTTATATTCATAGAATTCTCCTATTGGAAGATAAAAATGACTATTCAAGTATTTAAATTTTATCATATCTCTGGTTATTATTCTCTTTCATAACAGGATTAGAGGTGATCAGGAGAATATACTTTATTTTATTTGCTTTTTTGATTTTGTAGTACATTTTTAAAACCAGGAGTAGCATGGAATAGTCTTGGTTAAGTTAGGAATTTTTACCTTAAACCTGTGACTTTGTCATGTGCTAACAGTTTCCTTGGGAAACTCCTCTTCTTTGAACCTTGGTGACCTTCTCTGTAATGGAAGATAGCTAGATTAGATGTCATCCAGTGTCCTCTCTATTTCTAATATTTTCCGAATCTACAAATTTGCTTGGCAACATTGTTTTACTTTCTCTAGAAATAAAATTTCTGGAAAGGTTTATTCTGCCTAAAATGAGAAAGTGGGCCCTCAGTTTTTCTTTCATGACCTCTGTTGCCTGAGATAACTGTTGTTCCACTCTGCTTTTGCCTGATGTCCAAAAAAATGAGGATATAACATTGGCTCCACTTTGTCAGGCTAGTGACAGAAACATTATTCACTTCTAATTTGTTGCTTTAATATTTATATCTTTTTATACTTAGAGATATATGATTACTCAGTACCCATTCTGCTTCACTGCTTCAGAATCTACAATGCACAAAGTATTTCTAAGAAAAGAAATAAAAGAGAAAATCTATTTTTCAAGAGCTCCAAACTGGTTATTATTAAAAATGATAAGCACTCTTTTCTCTAAAAATGCCACACTTCAAAAATATCCTTCCCTCTAGGCACAAATAATTTTATCTAGGAGAACCTGTACTATATCAAGCTGTATAGAAGTTACAAATCCCAAGTTAAAAAACAATATTACCTTAATGCTTACCCAGATAAATATTTTTCTTTTTTGCAAGATTTATTAAATAGTAGGAGAAAGTAATGCACAATTCAGTGTTTTTAAATTGCTAACAGGGATGTCTTCTAAATATACCTATTGAGTTGTTGAGTTCCAGAAGGTCTGCCTTTCCTTTGTAATGCATGTTGTCCTATGGATGCAGTTGATGCTTTATTGGCACTGTGCACCTCATCTATTACCCTCAGACTGACTGAGCTAGAGTGGAGTGAATCCATTGAAAAGGAGCCTGCTGTTAGTGTGAACTCTGTTTGAACTAGTTCTGACTGCAAGTTTCATCCTCTAGCATTGGGGTAGACTTTATTGCTGTTTGAAGACTATTTGTTTTCATCATCTATTATAATTTCATTACGGCTTACTTAGATTTGTAAAATGAAATTTTTTTTTCAATGTGGCATTTATTTAGAGAATCAGGTTTATTTACTTTTTTTTAAATAAGCATGCTACTTGTTCTTTTTTCCCCACATGTGATGGGAACTTACTTTATATTATAATTTATAAACTGGCATATCTTCAAAGATTGTTAATTCTATTAATTCCTGATATATTTGAGTCAAAGAGATTTATTAATTCACCATCCTGTGCTTACAGTGTTCACCTTAATGGGTATCTTAGATTTAAAATTGGTAAAAAGAAGACTTCTTAAGTATAGTTTAAAATGTAGATCGATTCATTGTACGCTGACAAGAAAGCCCAGTTATATTTCATTGAAATCTAACAGTGGTTGTAAACCATGCCTGGGCTTGATTCCTGTAATAATGATAATTAGAATGCATTGCTTTGTAGTGATTTGTTTGTATTAACTCTGAATATCAGTATTGTGATCTGATTATTATATCCAAATGAGAACTCTAGACATGAATCTTCTTGTTCTGTTGCTCCGAAAGTAGTAATCAGTGTTTAAAAATGTATAGAATTTAATATGTACATTTAACCATAATTTTCAAGAATGGTTTTATGATATCTCCGTATTAAAGCATATCCCAATTTTAATTTTATTAGACAAATCAATTTACTGAAAGTGTTTTGACAGTTCTTTTTTCCTCAACAGGTAAAGTACCCTTTATTCATGTGGGAAATCAAGTAGTATCCGAACTTGGTCCAATAGTCCAATTCGTTAAAGCAAAGGTAATACAACAATGTTAAATGTATTTGATCACAGTTACTCTTTAAGTCATTCATCATTCTTTAGCTTGTCTTAACATTTACATTGATTTTAATCTAGTTTTATAAAATGCCAATAGAAACTACTGGAAAAATATTTCTCAAGTGTTTTTTATCATGATGTAAATCAATGAGAAAGATGTAATTTGATATTTATAAAATGGTAGATAATTTTCTAATGCTTATGAGAATTTTGGTCATAAATGAAAACTGTTAAGTTTTTAAAAAATGTCAAGTTAACCTTTGTGAAGGGAGGTAATGGGATATGTTTCTAAGTTGAATGTATTAATTTATTCACTTGAATTATTCTTCTTTTCATTTACTTAGTCTGGATTTTAATAGTTACCAAGGGACAACGTCCATTAACATTTTGGGGAACATCCTTCTAGACATTTTTCTTTGCAAATATAGAAAAATGTAGATAATATAGTTTTGTTCCTTTGCAACCTGCCTTTTAAAATCGACAGTGGGTTTGAAAATTCTTCCATGTTAATGATTACAGCTATATAGATGCATATCATCTTTTTAAATTGTTGTATAGTATTCTAGTCTATAGCTGTATAATTATTTACTTAAATCTTTATTGGTGGGCGCTTAATTTGTTGCCAAATTTTTGCTGTTGAGTTAATATTGTTGTACACATACCTTTGTATACCTGTCAGATAAATTTCCTAAGGATAATATTGCAGTGTTATATAAAATGCATTTTTTAATCTCTTAGAACAGATTTCCAGATAGAAGTAAAGCTTTTGCCATTTTGTGCTTCCACTTTTTACTAAATTAAGTAATTTAAAAATATATTAGAATTTTGGGCCTCCCCGGTGGCGCAGCGGTTGAGTGCTGGGTTGCGAAGCTGCCCGCAGCCTCTGCGGCGCCGGTTCGATCCCCGGCTGCTCCCCGGCCACCAGAGGAGGGTCCCACATGGCGCGCAGACCTCTCCTGCCGCCCGCTGCTCCCCTCAGCAGTGTACTTCGGTCCTTCTGCCTGCTCTGCTCCCCGCTCTGGCTCTAGTGAATTCTCTCACCCTCCTGTGCTTCTGACTGTACCCAGTGCATGTATAAACGAAACAAACGAACAAACAAACAAATAAATAAATAAAACATGCCTCTATAAAAAAAAAAAAAATATATTAGAATTTTAAGATAGTGTTTATTTCACTATATCTTTTTTTTCATCTTTGTCTTCTTTCTAAGCAACACATATTAATCTTTTGTCATTGAAATTTTATTACTAAAAGGTTAGTCTCCTAAAATACAAAATGTACTGGCCATTTTTGTTTTCATTTGTGAATTAATTGATAGTGCACTTTTGTGTGTTGAAACGTTTTTATAATAATGTATTAATATTTTGTAGCAATTAATGGTATTGCACTTTCACATAAAATAATTTTGCTTTAGGTGGCATTTTGGAAATTGATTGGACATTTGTAGTGCAAACATTGATGTTATATTACTTGGTGGTAGTGAGATAACTGAATGTTTTTGTATATTTAATATGATGCTCTTGTATATCTTTAAATTCCCTTTAGGGCCATTCTCTTAGTGATGGGCTCGATGAAGTCCAAAAAGCAGAAATGAAGGCCTACATGGAATTAGTCAACAATATGCTCTTGACTGCCGAGGTACAGTAGAAGATAATAAGGCTTGAATATAGGTCTTTCTCTTTCATAAAAGATAAATAAAAACAATATATTTAAAAATTCTTAAGGATGGGAAAATAGTTGAGTAATTGTAGGCCTAGCATGATTACCTAAATTAATTATTATCTTTGAATGAGTTGCCTGACATTTTCAGTTCTAGTTTCTCTGTTTAAGAAAAGGAATGATTATTGCCTACTCATTATTTTGCTTTGGCTTTGCAAAGTTTCCCTAAATAATATCTATAAAATACCTTAATGGTATATAGAGGTGTACTGTATGAATAAGAAATAATTTTATAAAGTACCTCTATTAAGTTTAATAATTCTATATAGCAACATTAGCCAAGAAAAATAATCAGTCCTCACACATTGACTTTTATAAACTTTGCTTATAAAAAATTACCATGCCAAGAAATAACTTTATCCATTTTCTTTTTGGTATTCTGAAATTTTAGTGATTCTTCTTTTGTTCCTAGTTGTATCTTCAGTGGTGTGATGAAGCTACAGTAGGGGAGGTGAGTGGTTCAGCAGCATTTATCTTAATTAAAATTTAATGAGAAAACACTTTTGCTCAGAATCGTAAGTCCCTGCTCATAAATGAAACATTGTGGTTTATACCATTAGTGATATAGTTTTTCACTTACTTTAATTTTGCTTGCACATACATTTTAGGAAGCTATGTGTCATTGTTTGATATAACTGGTTGCAAAGTACATAAAAATTTATATATTTTTAAAGGGACTGGTTTAAAATTTTAATTTTTTGGATTGCAAGCTATGGTTTTTTTTAGATTGCTGTATTTGTTTTCTCTGGTAGTATATTTCACTTAGAATTCTACTTGTAAAAACAGACTTTGTTTTTAGAAAGACTCACATTTTTAACAAAATCTTTTTACTTTAGATCACACATGCTAGGTATGGATCTCCTTATCCTTGGCCTCTGAATCATATTTTGGCTTATCAGAAACAGTGGGAAGTCAAACGTAAGATGAAAGCTATTGGATGGGGGAAGAAGACTCTGGATCAGGTCTGTTCAGACTGAAGTTGACAAAACCCTCAGTTGTAATGCATTAATAAATTCTTTTTTATATTAAAAAGTCTTCAAAAAATTCCCACATAACAAAATATTAATAAATCATTCACTCGTATTTCCTTTGACATGTAGTGGGTTGTCAGAAAAGTCATGATGTAACATAGAAAAGAGTGTTAATGACTTTTCTGGCAACCCAATAGTTTTATAAAATTCACAGATGCTTAGCTTATTGTAAAAAACATTATATAATACAAAAAAGTTCATAAAGGACATAAAAAGTGCCTGAAATCCTATCACCTAAAAATTGCCTATCACCTAAAAATTGGAGAATATTCTTCTAGGTGTCTCTTACATTTAGGATCTTCTTATACCTGCCACTCTATAACCTGATATTTTTTTTTCCCATTCAATACATTGTGGGCATCTTTTATGCCGGTAAATATAGATTGGCAGTATCAGGGCTTTTAAAAATCCCTATTAAATACAGTGCTTAATACATCTCTTTTTCTTTGGTATTAAATTTACTGAAGTAGCAAATATAAAAACTATCTTGTCAAGGTCATAAGTTTGAGGATGATTAAGTTAATTAATGTCTCTTTTCCATGGCTAGCCATAGTTCTAGCTAGCCAGCTTACTGATGTGTGCCATTGGCCACAAGGGGGATTGGGTCAATGAGTAGGGTTAGAGCAAATAAGATCCATTTCTGCCAGTGGGAAAACACTTCAAATGCTTTTATTCATGGAGAGTGAGCAGTATCATCTTTATATAGCACAATTTTTTGTATGTATGATGTTACTTACATATATATATATATGGATTTAGGAAAACATTTTTATAAGGAGTAGTGTTTTGAGAAAAAAACTTTCTTAGTAAATAAGTAAGTTAAATCCAGTTGGATTTAAAGGAGATTTGTTCTTAAATTTTCTTCTTGATTTTTATGTAGAGATTATAAAAAAATTACAGATACACACAAATAGTGAGAAAAAAAGTGTATATTACAAAGTCTGATTGAAGAATATTTTAAAAAGTTACCTAAATTTATATTTTTGGTATAAACTGGTACAAAGTAAGTTTTGGACACCTTTTATTGTTTCGCTAATTGAAGTATTTTTCTTTGGGGTTTATTACCTGTGTTAGGTCTTAGAAGATGTAGACCAGTGCTGTCAAGCTCTTTCTCAGAGACTGGGGACGCAACCATATTTCTTCAACAAACAGTAAGAAATTTTTTTTTTTGTTAGTGTCTATATTGTTAGTTCACAAATTTATTTTATCAGATAATTGTTTTATGAGGAAATATTCATGAAAAGATTTAGTTATACTTAACATTTATTTTTCCCCTAGTAAAACATTTGCTTAACAATTCTGAGTGTCAGACAAAACACTAGGTTATGGGAGACTAAAATTTCTAACATGCGGTTCTTACCATTAAGAATTTCACTTAACTATAATGGAGAACTGTGGGTGCCTTAGTAGTGGGATTGATGTGGTAACATACATCTGAAGGGTATGATTCTGTATCTCTATATCACATATGGTTTTGTAAGCCAATATTAACTCAATTTAAAAAAAGAATTTCTCTTAAATGCATGCATGTAAGCCAATCATTATTGTTTGAGGTCATATATGTATTAATAAGGGGTAGTTCAAAGTGCTACATATGAAACCATGACATACTAACAAAATTCTGAACTTGCAAAGTATTACTAAAACATAAAGAGTAATGATGCTTGTGTATGTAGGGTGTAATTATACTTGTGTATATAGGGTGTTACTCTGGTGGTAGAAAAGTAGAAACAGTGAAAAAATGTTATTGAATGGACAGGTACTATTATGAACTTACTTTTTAAAAGATGTGTGCATACATGTAAATAGAGTAATTTGTGTTTTATTAAGACAGATTTTTTTGTAATTTGGTAAAGAATCTCTAATGTAGTCAAAGAATTAATTTTCCTTTTTTTTTTAAAAAAAGCTATAATCGTAATATATCAGAATCAATTTTCCCATGATCCAGTCAAGATGGGCTTAAATTACTACTCTCATTGGTTTGCTTAGAAATTCTAACTTTTAATTATTAGCTTTTTAATAAAATGTCTTGCTTTTTCGGTTATGTAAAAAAATTTATTTGCTGCTATTGTATCTTAATCATTCATCTTTTATAGCCATATCAATACCTTTTGGTGAGATACTAATATTTGTATCAAAAATGACTCTGATGGTAGCTTAGAAATATTTGTTACATTAATGTATATTATATGTAACTGATAGTAAAATAAAATTTGTGGTGTGTTGATCTTTGAATCAGAAAGGTCATAGAGTTCAAACCATGAAATCCTGGTAGGTAAAGCTCCTACTGCTATGTTCCTGGTTTGCTACTGTCAGATTTCTAGGGTTTGTTTTGGCTTAGTTTTGTTTGTTCCTTTATATCACACATATAAGTGAAGTCATCTCGTATTTGTCTTTCTCCTCTGACATTTAACTTAGCATAATCTCCTCCAGTTCCATCCGTGTTGTTGCAGATATCAAGACTTTTTATCTTTTTTTAAATAGCTGAGTAGCATTCTATTGTGTATGTATACCAGCACCTTTATCCACGTATCTATCCTTGCGCACTTAAGACTGTTTCTATAACTTGGCTATTCTAAATAGTGCTACAGTATAGGGTGCATATATCCCTATCTCTTTGAATTAGTGTCTGTGCATTCTTTGGGTTAGCTAACCTAGAAATGGAATTAATTATATGGTAGATGCGTTGTTAGTATTTGAGAAATCGCCAAACTGTTTTCCATAGAGGATGGACTAGTCTACATTCCTATCAGCAGCGTACTAGGGTTTCTTTTTCTCTACGTCCTCACCAACACTTGTTTCTGGGCTTTTGATATGGGCCATTCTCACAAGTATGAGGTGTAGTATATTATTGTGGTCTTGATTTGCATTTCCCTGATAAGTGATTTCTTTTCATATGCCTGATGGCCATTTATATATCTTCTTTGGAAAACATCTATTTAGCATCTCTGCCTATTTTTTTAATTGGATTTTTGTTTTCTTGTTGATGAGTTGTATGAGTTCTTTGTAGATTTTGGATATTAGCTCCTTTTCTGATATCTGATGTACAACTCTCTTCTCTTGTTTGGAATGGTGTCTTTTCATTTTACTGATAGTTTCTTTTGCTGTGCCTTTTAGTTTGATGTAGTGCCATTTGTTTATATTGTTTTTGTTTCCCTTGTCAAAGAAGATGAGTCCCTAAAGACGTAACTGAATCCAATGTTGCAAAATGTTTTGCCTCTCTTTTCTTCTACGTATTTTATAGTTTCGGTATTAAATTTAAGTCATTAATCCATTTTGAGTTAATTTTTGTGTTTGGTGTGAGTAGTGTCTAGTTTCATTCTTCTCCAAAACTGGACATATGGTTGTCCGGTTTCTCCAACATCATTTGATGACGAGACTCCTTCATCCATTGCGTACTCTTGGTCCCTTCATTGTAAACTAACTGTCCTTGTAAGTGTGGATTTATTTCTGGGCTCTCAATTCTTTTCTGTTGATCTTTGTATCTTGCTTTATAAAAGGATTCCAGTTGGGAAAGAAGTGAAATTATCACTCTTTGTAGGTGATGTGAAAATATGCATAGAAAAATCCTGAAGACTACACTAAAAAACTACTAGAAACAATAAATCGGTATAGTAAAGTGGCAGGCTACAAAGTTAATAAACAGAAATCAGTTGTGTTCCTCTATGCCAACAGTGAACGAGAAGAGAAAGAAAGTAATCCTATCTACAATTGCATCAAAAAGAATTAAGTACCTGGGAATAAACTTAACAAAGGAAGTGAGAGATCTTTACTATTAAAACAGAAAGACATTGTTAAAAAGAAAACACAAAGATATGGAAAGATATACTTTACTGATAGATTGGAAGGATTAACATTGTGAAAATGATCATCTTACCCAAAGCAGTATACAGAATTCAACACAATCTGTATCAAAGTTTCAATGACATTCTTCAAGGAAGAGCAAACATTACTGAAATTTATATGGGGGAACCACAAAAGACCCAAATAACCAAAGCAATCCTGACAAAAAAAGAAGAAAAATAGAAATATACTCCCAGACCTCAAACTATACTGTTAATATAAAGCTATAGTAATCAAAGCAGTGTGATGTTGGAATAAAAGTAGGCACATAGATCAGTATTATTTCTTGAGACACATTATACCTCAATGAACAGGGCACGGGCTTAAGTCAAGATACAATATTGGATTCCAAGGTAGAGATCCTAATTTTTTTTCTTGATTCTGACATATACCTAACTTATGCATGTTACTTTATTTCCTTATCTATCATCCCTTTACTCTCTAAAACTCAAACAAACTTTTCTCCTAGCTTACCTACGGAGGATGTTGAGAGGACTTAGGAAAAAACCCAGTGGCTTTTCTTGATGAGAGAATGAAAAGTGTAGTTAAGGGAGATCCTGCAGCACTAACAGTAATTGGAGAAAGAGGACAAAGAAGTTAGATGGTAGAAAGGAAAAAGGAAAGTGAATTTGAAAATAAAACAATACAAAGTACATAGTAATCTAGATGGCTTTTTAATTATTCATAATATATAATATTGGTGGCTTTTAAATATTTGACATATTTGAAATGCAACTAAAACAAAATCTGTACTATCTGTTGCATTTGTGCTGGCTTCTAATGTGATATCTGTTAAGATGCTGACACAAAGCCTACTAAGTCATTTGTTCAGTTTTTATCTGATAAGTGTTAACTTGAAATGAAAAACTAAAACTTTTCTTAAAGTGATGTTTTTATGTGAACCTTAACAAAGGGGAAGAAAAAATAGAGAATTTCCCTCCCTAACCATAACAGCCATAGTGTAGAGGTATACTCCTTGCAGATCTCTTTTCTTTTCCAAACAAAATCTTTCAACTAGAAGGAGCTTAATAAATGTTGGTTATAAGTAGATTAAATTGAATGAGAAATTAGAAAAGGGGTTAGAAAGAGGAAAAAATACTATCATTACCCATTAGATGGTAAACTTTGACAATTTGCATTTGTATACTGATGAGACTATTACAAATACTGCAGACATTTTCTTGGGAATCTTGAGATGAAATATTTTAGGAAGAAATAGAGTTTTACTGACCTTTGTCAAGAAATCACCAGTTAAGAAAATAAGGGGAAATTGTTTTAAAATATATAAATACAAAATATAGGAAAGGTTAATTGCAAGGAGCTTGATTTACAAAATTGAATGACAGTCTTAAAAAGATTAGCATATAAAGAAGAGATTATATTTATGAGATTATATTTATGAGATTATATTTATGAGCTATATAAGAGATATGTTGATAGATACAGTAATAAGAAGACATGGCAAGTGAATATAAAAAAGTAGGGAACACTCATAGAGTAAAAGTGACATTTTCATGTATATGGTTTTTAGAGTTTTAGCAATGGTATATAGTTGTGTAACCACTACCAGAAGTGTGCTTTTTAAAAAGAAAGAATTGTTGGAATTGGTAACTTAATATAGACGAGTCAATTAATATAACCTGAAATTTTGTAAGGATCACGAAAATTGTGTTAAAAGTTAATGTGCGTGTTTTGTCAATTTAGTGTATTTTATTCCACTTCCTGTCAGATGTTCTAAAGTAACTTGCCACAAAGTTGCTATCTTATGTAACCTCAGATCAATTTTTGTATGCTCTTTTCCATATATAATTCAGGACCTTTTGAGTTATGTGGATGTATATATGCAGCAAATAACATTTTGACTACTCCATGGGTACTTCTAGACCACTCTAATTTGAACATACATTTATATTTTAAGTCATTCAGAGCCTTCACTTATTGATAAAGGATGCCCATATATACTACTGGAAGTTGCATCAGGGATATATACTCACCTTTTTTAGATTTTAATACAAGAAGTAAAGGTTAGTTAACCCTAAATAAGGATTAGGAAAATACATACTACATTGATGAAAAATGACATTCCTTGTAAGATAATATGTTTAGGAATGTGGAAGAGTTTATTTGATATTATATTACAAAGTACCTCAACTCTACTTTTATATACCTTCTACATCCTTGTTTTTTCTCAGGGATCCATTTGTTATTGATTCTTCATCTGAACAATAGGATCATGGTGCTTTAAGTCCAAGGACTTTTTTTTTTTTTTTTTAAGATTTATTTATTTTTATACAAGAACCAGGGTACAGGCTAGAAGCGCGGGAGGGTGAGAGGATTCACTGGAGACAGAGCGGGGAACAGAACAGGCAGACTGACGAAACACACTGCTGAGGGAAGCAGCGGGTGAAACAGGAGAGGTCTGCTTAGCCATGTCACTGGCCGCCTGGGATCAAACCTGTGCTGCAGAGGCTGCAGACAGCTTCACAGCGGAGCGCTCAACCGCCTACGCCACCAGGGAGGCCCCCAAGGACATTTTAAAATAAACTCTCCTATTGGTTACCCTCTTACTCCTGGTATACACTGCACATCTGACTTTAGTACTATTTCATGAATGTGAAGCTGTCGCAGTGGTCTAAGTGAGAGATGATACTGGGTCAGGGTAGCAGATAGTAATGGAGAGATTAGTGGTGGTACTTGCTAATATCAGAGAGTAGGAGAAAAGGAACTTGAGTAATTCTGAGATTTTTGACTCAGGCATCTGGGTGGATAGTGATGCCTTTCATTTTAGGAAGATGGGGGGGATGAGCAGGGATGCTTATTCAACATGCCAGTGGAGATGTTATGTAGGCACTAAGTGTACAATTCTGGAATTTAAGGGGGAGACTGACTGGAGATAAACAGGAATTAGTGTCATGAAGAGGTATATAAAGCTAACAACTGCCTGAGGTTGTGACGAAGACCACATAGGCTAGTTAAGTAATCCTAGTTAAGAAACTAGGATTCATCCTTAGATTTGGTGGACCCCTAAATTCTGTCAAATTAAGTCACTGTAACATTTTCACATTTAAGTGGGTTAACATGTTTTCTCAAAAGCTTTATCCTGTGGGACTCACAACAATAATTCATAATTATGATGGTATTTTCTCTATCGAGTAATAATGTACTAGTAATCATTTAAATGTAATACAGATTGGTGCTCTATTTAGAGACCATTAGTAGCAAGGTAGATCAGTTTCTTTTTTTGTTAGTGTTTTATATAAATAAAGGGAGAAAAACTTTAGAAAACTTTGTTGAGGCCGTTTTTGTCACCTTCAGGAAGCTGTTACTTTAAAAGTAGCAAAATAAAGGTTAAATCATGTTTTATTATGTGATTGGTAATCTATCAGGTACATTTTGTTATCCCAGTACTACATTGAAATTCACTGTGATTTGACAGTATTTTGTTTATTCAACTATTAAGTACTTACTAAATTGTGTTGTAATTTGTGTTTTGTGTCCTGTCTCAGAATATCTTTCTCATTTTTGTGTCCTTAACATCTGGCAGATTCTGACACATTTTGACCTAAGGAATAAAAACTAATGAATAAAATGAATATGATCACTTACAACAATGTTATTTATTTAAACATTTAAATACTGCTACTTGAAAAAACAAGTCATACAACTAGCAAATCCTAGTTTTAGAGGGATTTCCCCCCCATAACTTTATCACAGAAACTTCAAGTTAAAATAGAATAAATCCCATCAAGTTGTGATAGGATTGATTTATGTGACTTCTTTCTTTTAAGTAGATGAATGACATGTTTTTAAAAATAGAAAATTTCCTACCATCCAAGTTAAATGCTATTTATGTTGCTCTCATTTCTATTTTTGTTTTAGGCCTACTGAACTAGATGCACTGGTATTTGGCCATCTGTACACCATTATTACCACACAGTTGACCAATGATGAACTTTCTGAGAGAGTGAAACACTATACCAACCTCATTGCTTTTTGTAGAAGAATTGAACAGCATTATTTTGAAGACCGTGGCAGAGGCGGCTCGTCAATCAGAATGTCTTAAGAGTTATGTGTTAATGTAGTTATTATTTTAAAAAACTCAGAATTTAAAATTTGTTACTTGAATGTTGAAATAGATAATAGTATCAGAATTTTAAAGTCAGAAACACTGCATTTTGAAACCTCAAAAATTATATATAATGTATCCTATACATGTACTTTATACTGTTGTTTGTGTACACATCAAAATAATTCTGAATGACTACATTTGATATGTTCTACTATGTATCACGAAGTGTTTGGGTCCTTGGAACATGTATGCACATAAAAATAAAGGTTAAACAGTTGTATGGATGGCATATTTCTTTTCTTTTAAGCTTTCTGAAAGCTACTCTCTGACCTTTACACATGGAATAAATTGTGTCTTTTCTAAAGCAAGTTCCATATTCCTCAGATTACTCTGCAGATACATGAAGTGGACCTGGCCAGGGGAAAATGTTTTTAACAAGTATGCACTTAGAAAATGTGAATTAGGGGGCCTCTCTGGTGGCGCAAGGGGTTAAGACACAGCACTATGAAGCTGTCCACAGCCACTGCAGCAGGACTTCCATCCCTGGTCAGGGAGGTGACCCACATGGCACAGCAGATCTCTCCTGTCTCTCTTGCTGCTCAGTCAATCCGCCTGTTCTGCTCCCCACTCCATCTCTGGTGAATCCTCTCAGCACCACACCCCTCTGGCCTGTACCCCAGTTCTTGTATGTGTAAATAAATAAATCATTAAAAAAAAAGAAAATGTGAGTTAGAAGACAGTTAAATCCTGGAACAGATTAAGAACATTCTTGATATCTAAACTTAATTGAATTAAAACATAATTAGGTCAGCTATAAAATTTACATTGATAATGTCATGGATCATAGTTTTTTGAGACTTTAGGAAAAAAACCAAGAACATTTTAGTAATGTGATTTCTTATTCCTTTTGTAGGGGAGGGAGGATAGCTTTGTTTTTTCTTCTTTTGCCTAGAAGAACTGGTGTATAGCTAGGAGTGTGGGGGTGTAAGAGGATTCACCAGAGTCAGAGTGGGGAGCAGAACAGATGGATTTACTGAAATACACTGCTAAAGGAATCAGCGGGTAAGACTGGTCAGAGTTAATAAGTGGTAGACTTGGAATTCAAACTCAAGCCTAGTCTGGCATTCATTTGGCTTTTAATTATCACTATGCTGCTGTTTTGTTTTGTTTTGTTTTTTTTTAAAGAAAAAAGATTATAGATTTATATATAATATAAAGAATATATTAGGTTCTCTTTAGTCTGAATTCCATACAAACTTTGGGTACCCTCTTTGGATTAGAGTGCTATTTATTGTAGCTATCCTGAACTAGTTTTGTCATGTGTATTATTACTGAAATAAAAAATACCAAGTGTTACCTGTGTTTTGCACAAATTTTGTGACAGGCTTTTTTGTTTTTATTTTTGTAGACTTGATTCATTTTCTTTTGATGTTAGCATTTAATTTAATATTTGTAGCTTATATTACATTTTTACTTTTTTCTTTGGATTTTTGCATATCAATATACTACACCAATGTAGCCTGATATTTTAATCTTAATCATTAAATCTGGCTGTTTACTTAATATCAGGAACATTGGGAGAGTGTGGTTTATTCCAAGTTAGGATATTTACTCTTCTTTAAGACTTAATGTCTGTGGGTCATTTTCAAAAGCTTGTATTGTTAAGTGGATCACTATCAAAACAGTACATTAGAAAATGGAAACCATGACATTCCATTATGGTGATTAGGTTATCTGCTTTTATTTTTTAAGTTTGGGTCCATAAAGCAGATCACAGTATCTAAAAATTACCACTGTAAAGTCAGTGCAAAGACACTTTGCTAACAAAAGAAATATTTTACCGCCAAATATGTGGATGCTTTCTGTATTTTTAATGAATAGCTATAGTATTAATTCATTAGCTGTCCTAAATTCAAAAAAAGTAGAGATTATAAAATATGTTAATCTGAGAGATTAATAATGTTTTGATGCTTCTGACAGATAAATGGTAATATTTTAATGTTGTGTATGGTTGTCATTTAATGAGAAATGGATAAAATAGGGCTGGATACGGAGGTATATTACAAAGTGAAGTTGAAGATGATACAATAACTTGAATTTAAGTTTTTGTTTTAAAATATCAAATCAAGTTGTTTCTTATGGTTTAATTTGTAAACTTTATTGTGTCTTAAATAAAAGACAATTTTAAAGTTTGATATTTGGACTGATACACTACCCTATTTATTTTTAATTTAAAATTTTTAATGACGTACCATTGTTTTGACACTATAGGATTGCTCCCCTCAGGTGTGGTTGCTGTCTCTCTCTCACCACCAAAGCACCCATAGTCCTCCACCATAGTCCACTATGCTTTCCCCTTCTGCTCAGCCCTCCCCCTATACCTCTGGATGCCTCAGATGTAGGGTTAAGCTTCCAAGGGTTGGTTTAACGTTTGTTTTTGATGCTTTGTTTGGTTTCTCTGTATTCCACATATAAGTAACACCATCTGGTATTTATCTTTCTCCTTCTGGCTAATTTCATTTAGCATAATCCCTTTCAGCTCCATCCATGTTGTCATGGGATGAGTTTTATCTTTTTTGATCACTAAGTTGTATTCCATTGTGTGTATGTATATATATATATATATATATATATATATATATATCACATCTTGATCCACTCATCTGATTTTGGGCACTTAGTTTATTTCAATATCTTGGCTATTGGAAATAGCGCTGTAACAAGTATAGGAGTGCAGGTTTCTTTTCGAATTAGTGTTTTTGTGTTTTTTGGGTAGATAACCTGGAATTGCTGGGTCTAATGGTAAATCCTTTTTAATCTTTTGAGGAACTTCCCTAGGCACTGGACCACTCTTCATTCCTCCATCAACAGTGTAAGAGGATGTTTATAAATTGTTACTCTAGTTGGTTGATAGTACTGTTCAGGTCTTCTATATCCTTAGTAATTTTCTGTCTACTTGTTCTATATTACTGGGAGGAGAGTATTAATAGTTGCTGAGATTGGCATGTTGAATTGTGTCTTTTCCCCTGTCCATTTTTATCAATTTGCTTCATGTATTTTGAAGATCTATTAAATGTAAGTTAGGATTGTTTTTTCCTCTTGGAAAATTTTTACCTTTATTGCTAGGTATTTGAGAGGTATTGACCTTTAACCTGATAGTATTTGTTGTTCGGAGGTTATTTATCTGGTGTTAATATAGCTAGCTATTTAGCTAATTTAGTTATTTATCTGATACAGCTACCCAAAGCTTCTTTAGATTAATATTTGCAAGGCCTGTATATTTTTATTATTTTAGTTTATATTTTTTATTTAATATTTTTCTTATAAATAGTTTAGAATTGTATCTTGGATTACCTGGTTATCTCTGTCTTTTGATTGGTGTATTTAGGGTGTTTACACTGAATATAATTATGATGTGCATAGATTAAAATACATTATTTTGCTATTTTTTATTTGTTTTATTCTATGTTTCTCTTCACCCTATCTTTGGATTGAGCTTTTTAAAAAAGATTTATTTATGCATACAAGAACTGGGAGGCCAGAAGTGTATGTAGGGGAGGGGGGGTGAGAGGATTCACCAGAGACAGAGTAGGGAGCAGAACAGGCAGATCAACTGAAATACACTGATGAGGGGAGCAGCGGGTGAGTCAGGAGAGGTCTGTTGCGCCATGTGAGTAGCTCCCTGGCTGGGGATCAAAGTCGTGCTACAGTGGCTGCAGATTGCTTCATAGGTTGTGTCTTAACCCCTTGTGCCACCAGGGAGGCCCTGGATTGAGGGCCTTTTAGTGAGGTCATTTTATCTCTACTGTTGGCTTATTCTTTATACCTTTAAAATTTTTTTTTAAATACAGCTTACTTAAGGTTTGCAATATATATCCTTAATCTGAGCTTATGTGCAAATAATATGCAATGCTCTACTCCCAGTCTATGGCTTGTCATTTCATTTTCTCAGTGGTGTCTTTGGAAGAACAGTGGCTTTTAATTTTGATGTGGTTCAATTTATTGAGTTGTCTTTTTTTGGAGTATGCCTTTGTTGTCATATATAAGACGTCTTTGTCTAATTCAAAGTCATAAAGATTTTCTGTGTTTTAGAAGTTTCTTTGTTTTAGTTCTTATTTCATCTAAGCCTGTAATTCTTATTGATCTAATTTTATTGTTGAGGGTGAGGTAAAAATCTTAATTTTTTTTTGGTATAGATATACAATTGATTTCTTTGGCACCTTTTGGTCTATGTGAGAGTGAGGGGAGAAGGATGCAGATGTGACTTTCCTGCAGTTGTTTCTGTTTTCCTCTCCAAGGGGCCACAGGCACTGTCTTTTAGATTCTTGCCACTTCTCCAATTTTGTTTTGTTTAGCTTCCCGTGAGGTCTTATGAGAAGAGCCTGTGGGTGAGTAGGAATTCCCTTTGTGTTTATGGTTCCCCCAGAGTTTATAGACTGTTAGCCCACACTCAGCCTCAGTGATGGCTTAAGAAAGCCAAGTTCTCATTACCATTGTCCAATAGTACATGTTTTAGGTAAGCAAGTGTTCGTGTACCTTCTCTCTCGGGACTTTGGGTTAGTTGGACTTGCAACCTCTTTTCTCTGATGGGTTTAAGAACTGGGGTGAATTTACAGATTTACGTTCATCATTGAAGAGTTTTAATTATGAAAGATTGCAAACATGCAAAATATGGAGAATATATAGAAACTACTTTTACCTAGTAACTGTTACTTTGCTTCGACAGTTAGCAGTTCAAGGCAGTCTATATGCTCCTTTTTTTTTTAAAGATTTATTTATTCATACAAGAACTGGGGTACAGGCCAGAGGTGTGGGAGGGTGAGATTGACTGAAATATACTGCTGAGGGGAGCAGTAGCCGAGTCAGGAGAGGTCTGCTGCACCATGTGGGTTGTTCCCTGGCCGGCCAGGGATGGAACTTAACCCCTTGCGCCACCAGGGAGGCCCCTATGCTACTTCTCTTTTATGTTTTCTTTATTTACTTAACTATATATGTTGCACATACTTTGTTGCACTTAGCAGTGGTGCATTGACTTTCACTATTATAGTATTTTATGTGCAAATACAGCACTTTATTTTTCCTGTTAGTGGACACTTGGGTTAAAAAATTATGCTTATAACTAATCCTATGCATGTCTCATGGTACAGATATGCAATAATTTCTTCCTTAGCTTAATTGTTGGATTGTCAGAGAGAAACCCACATGGCGAAGCAGACTTCTGTCTCGCCCGCTGCTCCCCTCAGCAGTGTATTTCAGTCAGTCTGCCTGTTCTGTTCCCCA